AAGTCCAGAATCTGGGAAATGAAAGAAGGTAAATATGCAAAGACTCTCGCCAAGATTCTGGTCACAGCAATTTTTCTTCTCCAAGATATGCGGAGAAAGATTCTACACAAATTTATAGAGATTTGTATGGAGACGCCATGCTGGTGCCCATACGGAAACCAACAGAAACATCTGTCACTGAGTTTTGCCATAGAAGCTTGAATTTATCCCTCGAGGAGCTCTAAAACATTAAAACTATACTTTTTCTTAGACATAAACTGTTCAGATAGCCAAATTTCCCGAAATAAGTCACTTTTTTTAACCATAATGACAGCTCTCTAGGCCGTCATGTAAATGCCGTGTCACGCAAGAGCTTAGAAATTCGAGTGTAGTGTATCACAAAACCAAGAACCCATTCCGAGCGAAAATTTGTTTGAATATTAGTTTTCAGCTGCTCTTATACATCACTAAAGTTAAATCTCAGGAAGATCAGTAGTTCTGTAGTTTGAATTTTAGTGACGTCATGTGAAAACCAGCTATATCACAATTTCTTGACTTAATCCACTGAATGGATTTTGATTTTATTTTTTATTGCGTGACAATGCACACACTCTATAGCATTGGCCATCTGTCTTATCATTGTTCATTTTATTACTCAGCGCGCTCTCTCATACATGACGTGGCGTGTGAATTTGCGTGCGCACTAAAAATGCGCAGAAACAATTAGTAGGAACGTCCTGAAGAGCCAAACAAATGTGACGATAAGTTTTTGGGGTGGGGACCGTCTGTATTGCCTGTCCATTGTGATTGGTTAGGTTGATAACTTTGGATTTGGTTTTACGACACTCGTGCAACTATAAACCACTCTGAAGAACAAGCGAGAACTCTCAATTTCGGTGCCAGGCCCCTCACCGCCACGCTTCGCTCGCTGAATTGTCTTGCACAGTTTCCGGCTTAACGCACGAGAGCCTAGAGGTATCACGTGATTCTTTATTTTCTTTTTTATTGCTGTTATGTTTGGACATTGTAACTAGGCTGGGTTCTTCTAAACCCAAGTGTTCTTTTAGAAATGCTAAATGCATAGTTGATGAGTGAAAATCAGCGGATTATCACGATCATGAGATCAAGAGTCAAGGCTGCTCCGTTCAATAAACACAAGAGAAAACAGGGTAGAAAACAAGCCCATAAAGTTAAACCTCAATCTCTGAGGCAATTTGCACTTCATAGAGAGCGCTAAATTGTATGCCGGGTGGTTGAAACACAAGCTTGCCATCTTGGTATGTGTAGTGACTGTAGTCCCAGGTCATCAGGATATTTAAAAAAAATTCTTGGTATTAGCCCTCCTTAATCATCATTGACATCCGACTTATTTCAACCCCAAGGCTAGATTTGGAAGTACAAAGTTTTACAATTCAGTCATTATGGAGGAATAACAACATATTGTTTGCGAGACAGATGTACTTCAAGGACGAAGAGCCGTTGGAGACTAGAAGTCTTGTACTTGGATCAGCAGTTGGTTTATTTGGTGGTCGTTCACTCTGCCGTAACCGTCAACCAACTAACTCAAACGAAAACTGACGATTAACCTTGCTCGGGTCATGTCCACGCACTGAGCTATGATTGGTCTATTCGTAAATTCTTAAGGGCGAATGAAATCACTAGAAAAAGTGACTTCTTTGATAGTCAAATACAATGCCCCTAGCCCTAAAACAATAACAGCTGCTATATTAATAAACCGACAGCAGCTTATGAGAGCTGTTACACTTTTGGCTATTTCCAACTGTAGGTTTTGGTCCCAATCACAGCTGTGGCTGGACAAAGTGCATTTAAACCCAACTGATAGTGATCCTTATTTTATCAGCAGCAAGCGCAAAATAAAAGCTATATTATAAGAAAGAGTAAATATTTTTTTTTGCGTTGGTGAGCTAACCACTAATTTCAGTAGAAATTAGAGGGTCCTATTGCTCGATGGTATCGGAATGGCCCCGTCGGAACTACGCTGGAGAAATTTGAAGACGAAATAATCACCGGCGGCAGAAAATCTTGAGGCACCCTTGAGGGTTAGGATAATCGAGCGTAATGATTATCAAGACGCCATCGTTTTCGAAAGCCCCTGTTTTCAAAATGTTTTCAGTCCGCACTAAAACGCAAAGCTGGCGTTTCCAAATTCCTCCGGTTTGAAGAGCGCTGTTAAAAACCCCCGTTTTCGGTGCAGATTAGTGTGGACGGTAGGTAGGGTTAACCATAGAAATGAAGCTGCGTTTTCAAATTTTTCCGACGTAGTGTGGACGGGGCCAGAGACTTACGCAGTTCTTTGATCGTAGGCTCACGTAATCTAAAACTCACACTACAAGTGACTATCTAAAATTAGTATCACCCAACTAGTGGACTAATGCAAATCCTGCATTTTAATTGGCTACGCTACCAGAGGTCTGTTAGTAATAGTCCTCGAGTAGCGAAATTGGCGCAATCGAGCGTGACGCTTTCTTTCGTTTTATTCCCAGATAAATATTTCTTCAACTTGCATTTGCTAACTTTATTATTGCCTTTTCTGTCCGACTAGTTGGGTGATACGAAAACAATTAGACCCTTCGCCCTTAAGGGCCACGGGTCCATAGCCCATTCGGCTTCGCCTCATGGGCTATTGACCCGTAGCCCAAAAGGGCTACGGGTCTAATTGTTAATTACTGAAATAACTATGTACACAAATGGTTTCCTTAACGATTGTAATATGAGCGCATGTCACTTTTACATGGAAGAACCAAAGAACCAAAAACCGCGTGTAGAAAACACTTTTACGCAGCTTGGTAAGACAAGCGAAGTTACGAAGAAGAGCTGTTTCAACCATTTAGAGATAAACTAAGCTAGACCAAGTTTACATTGTGCTTTAAAAATAGGAAATAATAACTTCGGTGACCACGATACCAACAACGCAACGTGTCAGCAGCAAAGCAAACTTCCTGGCTTTACAAATTGACCATGGGAAAGTTTGCTAACAGCAATTGGCTACCCTAGTGAGTAAAAGTGACAAGGTGACTTTGTTTGTCGGTACTACAAACTTCAGCTAGTAATTTTTAATTTAACTACCACTAATTTACAACAATATTTGCAATAACTCATCTGCCTCTCCGCAGTCTCATTTATGTTCTAGTTTCAGCACAACATAACGAGACCGATTAACTATTTCTCTGCACGCTTTGATCTGACGCTAACTAGGGTAAAGTTATTTCCTAAAGTTCAATATACACGGGATCTATTTTCCAGGAAATCTACCGAGGCAGCCTAATTCGTCAATTTCAAACACTAAAACTAATTTAATATGTAAAACTAATTTTATATTTTCAACAAAATTAACCTAAATTTCTAACTAAAATTTCTTCTTTGATACAACTTATATAGCGCCACTTTCGTACTAAGAAATACATTTTAAAAGCGCTTTAGATAATCTATATATGGCGAGTAAATGACTGGCCTTTTGTGGCCACAAAAATGCGATTTAAACAATCAGTAACTTGGTAAATATGATTAGACTAGATTAAAAATTCATTCAAAACTAAATCTGACTAGACCAAAAGTTGAAGTAAAAGAGTTGTGTTGCCGAATTTTATATATAGCAGTTCCATCTCTTGTCATAGTTTTGATCATGAAGGTTTAACCATAGTCACACCATGTTTTAAATAGTACAGTAGAAAGGGCAGCAAAATTTCCATTTATTGAAAATCGATATCAGTTACTGAACCTTCTAGGAAACTGAGGTAAGCATACTTGCATGTATGCTTGTGACAATGCTGCTCAAGTGAGATTTAATTTTCCTTAGTTGCAAATATACTTTCTCATCTTTCAACGAGTCCTTTAGCTTTTCATCCAGCAACAATACCAAAACGTCCGATGCTGCAGAAAAGCACTCTGACCTTTCTTTAGGTTTTAACTCAAAAATATCTTCTGTCTTGAGAACCTGAAGAACATTGGCATGCAAACGGAGATACTCGGGTGACCCGTCTTCTTCAGAAACACAGAGAAATGAAGAGGATTCTAAAAGATGCTCTTTAATTTTCTCTTCAGATTGGATACTACGATCTTTAACAAAATTCAAAGCTGCTTGAATGGGAAGCGAATCAGAGGCACACAGTGAGAAGAGGGTAAACGTCTGGCGGAGAATTTCGTCAGTTTCCGTAGCTTTATCAACTGCCACTTTAATGGAAGTCGCCATTGCTCTTGAAGATTCATCTGTGATCATCGTCATCAACGGTCTTTTCTCGCCCTGGATAATTGACTTGAAATATTCTGACCAACTGTACTCTGGAGACCCTCCGCTGACAACAGCTTGTGCGTACAATGCTGCGGCTGCTAAGGCAAGCGGCTGATGGCCAAGACTTTTTGCAACGTGCTCTGCATGCGGGTCTTGGTTAGAAATTTGCGACACTTCTTTCAATAACTCCATCGCGTCATCTTGAAGCATTCCCTCACTGAGTGATTCATGGTAAGTGTGAGCAGCACTTGTTGGAATTGAACTGCTATCTTGTGTGGTGATCAGAACTTGACCGTGACCCCACTCCCCACTGGCAGTCTGGGGCAAGTAGTTGCGGACCATTGTTAAGTCAACCACATTGTCAGCGATTATCAACCAAGCAGGGAACTTTCGCATTGTTGGCAAAATCAACTCCTTGAGATGATTAATTGTTTCCTTCGGCCTTTCTGCCATCGCGAGAGCCAGGATAGTCAAGGTATCTTCTGCAATTCCAAGCTGCTTAGCCAGAAGAATATAAGAGTCCCCTATAGTCTGAAGGGTTTCTGCATTTATTGTTCCAACAAATGTGGGACCATCACGTGACCTTGAGTTAAAGAACTCTTGTCCAATTTGACGTGCTAGTTGACTTTTACCACATCCAGGACTTCCTGAAAAATAAATTGTGCTAACTAACCCATTACTTCCAGTCTCAATTTCTTCCATTTTCTCCACGATCCTTTTGACGTCACTTGAACGTTCGATAATTTGATGTAATGGCTTAAATGTGAGACTACAAAATGGCTCAACCTTTGAATACACGTCACGGCTTAAAACTTTGTGATCTTCTGGCACGGCAGGAGCAACTTGTGCTTTCAGTTTGTCAGTGACATCATCAACTAGCTTTTCTAACGATTTCAATTCGGGTGTTCGGAAGCTTCTCTGGTTTTTCACAGCCTCGACATCACTAATTGGAAGACCCAAAGATGTAAATGCATGCAATACTCTATCTGCATAATTCTGGAACTCGACATCAGTAAGACTGGTCTGTCTCAAATGGGCAACTTCGTTTCGTAATCGGCGAAGGTCATCAATAGATGATCTGACCATAGGACTGAGAGTAGCACCAATGCTATCTGAGAACAGGATCGCGAAAGCCAAACAAACCCCATCCCATTCTGTCGTGTTTCCATTCTGCATGATCATCAATAAGCTTGCATTACGCCGAAGGTTACCGGGACTTTCTAAAGATGAAAAGTCTCGACCATTCTTCGGTATGTCTTCCCATTCTCCATAAGCTGTTTTGTAACGAAAATCCCATTGTTGTTTGAAGATTTTTCTCAGTCCCTCTGTGATCAACTTAAAAGAGATGTAACACATTCGAAAATAGTTCAATTCTTCGGGTGAGTACTCCACCAATCCAGAAGGACCTGAGGGGGACAATGATCAATGTTAGAGACAAGATAACCTGAAAATTAGCCATCTTCTCTAATCCCGCACCCCAGAAAAGTGCGAGTCCACACACAGATTACTCGCTAAACTACCCGGCGTATTCGCATAAGGCTGATCAGTAACTTTCGCGTCCAAAAATTCTACATCAACGATAATAATTTAACTGTTTCAGAGGGTCAGAGAGACTGTCGACCAGCTGAATACACAGCCTTCAACGCAGACTTCTTTTGGACTCGTTATTCAGTCTTTCCTCCTCCATGGGGTGTGTGCGTGACGAACCACTGCATAAGAGGCCGGCATTCTAGAGGCCGGCAGTGTGCATTTGTTTCACTTGCAGCTTTGCTTTTTCTCGCAGTGGAATACTAGAATCGAGGTTTTCACTGTTTACAGGTGAGCTGTGGCATTTTTTCGTTTCTTTGATCTCTTTTGCTGATCTGCTATGATTACTTGTATTCGAGGAAGCATTCATCAAGGTCATGAAGCTTTCAGTGAGCATTCTAGAGGCCGACAGTGTGCATTTATGTCACTTTCAGCTTTGCTTTTCAATCGATCGGATTCGGTCGATTCTTGGACGCAAACAGATATCGATGCTATGTTATTTCATGGAGATCTGTACGGGTCCGCAAATGATCCCAGACCGCAAATGATCCCCAAGTTGGACCGCAAATGATCCCGGACCGGAAATGATCGCCGATAGGGACCGCAAATGATCCCGACTAAAAAATAACGAACGGCATGGATGGTGGGATGGTGT